TATATGTATATGTATTATATATATAGGGTCTTGCTATGTTGCCTAGTCTGGTCTTGAACTTCTGGCCCCAAATGATCCTCCCAAACTGCTAGGAGTACAGGTGTCAGCCAACCATACCTGGTGTATACCTAGCTTTTCTTCTCTTTTCTTTCTTTCTTTCTTTTTTTTTTTTTGAGACCGAGTTTCATTATGTGGCCCTTGGTAGACTGCTATGGTGTCACAGCCCACAGCAACCTGAAACTCTTGCCTCTGGCTCCCAAGTAGCTGGGACTACAGGCACTTGCCACAATGCACAGCTATTTGTTCTTGTTGTTGTTGTTGTAGTTGTTATTGTTATTTGGCAGGTCCCAGCTGGTTTCGACCCCACTGGCCCCGGTGTATGTGGCTGGTGCTCTAGCTGCTGAGCTATAGGTGCCAAGCCTATACCTAGCTTTTCTGAAATCCATCTATTACCTAACTCCCTGCTATTATTGTTTATTCCTAGTTTCTCATTAATCCTGAGCAGAAAACAGTTATTAGTTCTATCAACATATTTGGCCAGATGAGCTCTTGACTGCCTCTCTCTAGTGGACAGATGTGTAGTTGTATACAACATCAACTCTTCTGAGAGCAACACTTCAGTGTTTCTTTGGAGAAACATCCCTTCCCCACCCTCAGTCTATATGGTTTGAGTGAGCTAACTACCCACTTTCTCTCCCTCCAGATGTAAACTTAGATCCTAGGCTGGCCAATTAGGATATTTCATCCTATCCCCACCACAGAGATATTAACCTGGAGCTTCCAGTGGCCACCATGTGAATAAAAGCTTGCCCCAAGAAAGGCACCAGCACAGAGGAGAATCAAGGAGAGATACAGAGAGACCTGACCACATCCTTTGAGTCCTTGGATCCAGTTAACCACTAGACTGTCTTGACACACAAGTCAATAACTATCCTTTTATAAGTTTACACCACCTTGAGGGTTTTTTCTGGAGGGGGGGACAGAGTCTTAGTTTGTCACCCTCCGTAGAGTGCTGTGGCATCATAGCTC